GTGAAGCTACAACATAACACTTCCCTTTGTTTCCAGGTAGAACAGGATTCTCCAGGCAGCGGGTGATCTTACAGACTACACTAGCAACAAAACTCCAAGATGTAATGAGCTGAGGTAATGACAGAATATCAGTCTTAACTCTGCTCGTGTGAGCTTAGTCAAATCCTTAATGTGATTTCACTACAAACATATTTTTCTGTAGATGCATGTCATATTCCACACCCCCCAACATCCCCCCCAGCAGTATTAGAGACAAAAAGAAAGAAAATGCCCTCTTATTGAAATGTAGGAGTTGATACTCTAGACCATAACCAGTGCTATGGTCTATGGTTTAAAGATGTATTAGGGGAAATTTTTCAAAGTATGTGTAGTTTCACTGATATCACAGGAAGAATTTAATGGCTCTTTCAGTGTTCATACCATTTTTTTCTCAAGTTTCTACATGGTGCCATTTTCTTTTAGGGATGCCTAATTGCAGGCCCACTTAAGCCAGCATAGAAATCTTGGTGCAAACTGGAATGTCACTGGGGTCACATTTCAGAAACAGAGAACTGGAAAGCAAGGAGTGAGCATGGCTCTGCTGCTGGCAGTGCTATGCAGTGCTTTGTCACCATACAGCTTTGCTGCTTGACCTAACACCTTCTAAAAAGCCATTCCCAGTCTGCAGTGGACAACTGCAGGTACAGGGATGGATGTTGAGTTTGGTATGTGCCTGGTAGAACAAGGAACTCCTGGAGAGCTGTACAGACAAAAGCCTATTACCTACTCTGAATGTTACTCCAATTGCTTAAGTAAATCAACAAAGTCCACATAGCTCAATAGGATAAAAAAAGAGGCCTTGAGAGAGACATTTAGATCTTCAAGAAATATTTCTGAAACCTATCCTTCAACAAAACAATTTTTCTCATAGTGAAAATTCAATGATTAACAAAAGAACACTGTATGAACATATTTGTTACTTATAAAAAAACACCTCCTTTACCCAGCTGTCCCAGCCAGAAGCTCTGAAATGGCCATAATATAGTATTAAACATCTGAGCCTGAAACAGTGATGCTATCAACAGGTGCAAGGACATGCTATGGACAGCTTGCAGTAAGACCTGCTAGACATGCATCAGGCATACAGACACCACCCATCCCTTATTGTGGGAGTAATACAGATAGAATTACACATCTTCTGCCCAGAGAATAAAATATAACACACAGTCTAAATTCTCAGCATCATTAAAGACAACAAACCTATTATTTAAATTTACATCTCCAAGTTGTTTGGAAGTTTGATGAACAGCCTCAAGAAATGTAGTATTTTTTCCTGCAAGGGTTTCCTAGTGCTTAGCCTGCAGCTGTTAGCATTGGATTTCAAGACACACTGTACTAAACTGTATTAGGCATGTGAAAGGACTTTCATTCCTCATTAGCTGCGCATAAGAAAGGATTGTAACTTTTAAAAAGAACTAAGCAGCTTTGTAAAAATCTTGAATTTTGCTCTAACAAAAATCATACTTGTTAAAACTTTTTTTATTCCCAGCTGAACTATGCTTCAACTCAAAGCAAATAAAGTCATCAGTTGACTCCATTCTATTAGAGGACAGCATTTAGAGAGGGGGAGGGGAGGAAAAGAAATAAAAAAGAGTCCAATAGGTCTTTGAACAGTGGTCCCTTGTCTGTCACATCAAGACATGGCTTCTACTTCACACACTATTGACCGTGAAAAGCAATCTTGCGACTTTTGAAGCCCCATCACAAAAAAAGGAGTGCAAGAGAAAACTTTTCTTGAAATGTCAAGGATGGGGGGCTGACTGCTCTCATCTTCTATGATTAATGACTTGTGGCCTTCTTGTGTAGAGGCTGCTAATTAGCTTTAGACTGATTAGGGCTGTAGAATGCAAAAATTCAGCTTGATAAATCTGGACAGCCTCCATTCCCCACCTCAAACAGGCCTGGTGCAGAAACTCTGGCATCTGGTTTTGTGGTAAAAACATGCTCATTGGAACTAATGTAATTCCAAGAGACTGGGCTTCACCTACTAGAAACTTGAACTGCAGTGTTTTCCTGTATAATTAATTTCCAGTCCTGTCCTAGTTACCTGCTTTTTATCTAAATACTTGCTTCACACTTGGAGTAAGCAGATATCATATACTAACAAGTCTTATTCAACAACATTTAAAATTTAGTTAAAAAGCAAAACAAAATAGCAGGAAGATACTTTTAATCTTCCACTATGCCCTTATTAACAAATGAGAGCAAGTTCATTATAATGCTTCTAAAAAGTTGCACACAGCCTTCTTGGATGTTCTTTATAGATGCATTTAAAAAGAGAGCAGAAAAGTGGCAGTTCCTAAATTGTTACTGCCTAACATTCTGACCACCTGCTTTACTGGAATACATGCTGAACCCTTTATTTGGTAATAATCACTAGCTATAGAGGTGGAAGTTTAGTACACAGGGAGTTTCAATACCTTCTACCGTGGCCCCCTTCTTCTCTCCTCTCAGTCTTGGATTAATTCTGCTTGTTAAATTGATCTTCACATGGAAAAGCATTACATTCCAGTAACACAGAAAGGTTTCAAATTCTTTTGCCAGATTTTTAACACAAACCTCATCAAACTGATGCACTACAACATAAGGCTGATTAGCTTAAGAACTGATTACTTGTCCTCTGGGCACTAGCAACCAAAATTAGAGACTTTAGCAGCTCATACAACAAAGTAATATGAGCTTATTTTTTCAGATACCTACAGTTCCAAGAGGGAAGGGGAAAAAAAGTGTTTCTAGGCTACTACCAAAGAGGGGAAGTTTCTTGCTTTGGATGGGATGGATTGAAACACTAATAATTTCCTCTCTACTGAATAATACCTAGATAAAAAGACTGTGTAAATATTTGTGCACAAAGCTAAATTAACCAAATTATCATAGTTGACTTAATTTTAATTTCACACATATATAAGTCTGAGCACCTTCAACACATGGGCTGCTTGAATTCAAGAGGCTTCCTTTCATGCTCTGGATTTCTCAGAGCATCCTTCACTTGTTCTACCTATTACTCACTTGCATGTCTCTACATGCAGAGGGCACCTGTTACACCAGGTACTGCATGTTGTAAAGTGAAAAGACAGTCATGGTTGAAAAGAGTAAATTCCAGTATTGCAAAAATATTTCCACATGAGTAGGCACAGGCCTTGCCAAGGGGAGAGGTTACAGCAGTAGAGCTAAATTTATGATGAAAGGCAACAGGTGGCCATTGGAAATAGCAACTTAAGGGACCACGGGATGACAGCAATAGACAATGCAGGGAGAGGTCATCATCCACAGCCTCTTTCAGGTCCCCAACAGGAAGCCTAAGTTTATGCCTAACTTGAAACATGCAAACAACCCCTTTGAAGCAAGTAGTAACCAGATTTTTAAGTACTTGTGTGTCTATGCATTTATTTTTTGCTGTAATTATGCAGCATATACACTGTGTGGTGTAAACAGCCTCAGCATTCTGTAAGGTAGCACAATTCCTCCAGAATCAATATATTGCTCAAGACCTGTGATTTAACTTAGTATTTATAAGCATTTTTCTATGCCTTACCCTGTTTCTTTTTTGCCTTGTTTTGCTTTCAGCAAGGCTCTTTGTAGTGTCATAACTCACAATCTTTCTAGTTAGACTTTGTTTATAAAACCTCTATTGTTCCAAAACAATGGAGTTGTGACCTGTTTGAAGGCAGGACTGCAGTCAGGGCCCTCTCCGTACTTTCTCAGGGTGCACTTTGTGACAAAGTGAATAGACCACACAACCCTATTGATGTCAGCCAGGAGGGGAAAAAATAGGCTCCCTCAATAAATCTCAACATAAATCTTCTTGCCCTATCTCGCCATCTGTATGAATTCACCTAAAGCACACATTTAATAAGCAGAACAAGTATCCCCAAGCCTAAAAAATTGAAATACTGCTTGCAGACCAAAACAGATTTGTTTCATATTTAGGGCAGTTTTAGGGAATTCACAGGCACAGAAAGCAACAGGTGGAAACATAGCTTGGGCCAAGACAAAGTGAATGAGATTGACCCCAGCACCATGAATATGCTTCACTCTTCTGTGTCAGTTCCCTGCTATAAATTTCCTCAAGTGTCAGGTTTGTGGCTTCTGTTGCTTACTTATCACCGATGACTTTGGTTTTTCTAATTTTGCCTCCAATGTTACAGAACAATTACCCACACAACACAAGTACTAACAGTAAAACAGCCACAGCTTTTTTCCTTATTTGAAAATGCCACATTCTGTAGTTCTGGTTTTGAAGGTCAGGTCAGGGCTGTTTAGAAGAGGTTGAGGATGACCATGTCTCTCTTGAAGTATACTTTTAGTCATGCATCAGTGGCATTCACCCTCATTCAGCTTTATATATTTTTTGTACAAATGTTAAGAACAAAGTAAATCAAAGAGAAAGTTTTCCCTTAACTTCAGTGGAAAAAGTCTTCATGTGTTGCCTACATATATTCTAGGTAGTTAAAACATGTGCAGCCAATATAAATTTTCATTATCATTCATGAAAGAAAAAAAACAAAAAAGCCAGAGCTAGCACTAAAACAAGCAAACAAATGGAGCCTCCAATTTAATTGCATAAGTGTTTGTGGGAAAACTGAAAGCACTTCATAACAGTGCTACCTTTTTGTCCAGTGTCAATACAGCTTCTAGCACAGCAGGGTTCCAGATTGTGACCAAGTCTTTCACACAGTGTTGCATTGAGCAACAACATAAAGACAGCTAGAGCCAAGCTATTTCTAAATTTGAATTATTATTTATGTTTTTAAGCATTCACTCTGTTTTGAAAGCAATAAAATCCTTCTATAATGTCTTCCATCTGAGCAGAGCATATCAAAGTGCTTTGCAACAAATTACTGGTTAAAATGTGTAAAAGAAATTTAATTGTTAGAATGAAAGGCAAAAGATTTCAGTCAAGTCATGCTAGAGGGAAAATACTACTATAAATTCATCAGGACAAAAAGCAGGACAAAAACTGATTTCATAAAATTATATTTCTGCTGAATCAAGGCACATTTATCATATATAACTTTATATAGCAAATTCCAGGCAAATTGTTATATTGCTGGTTAGAAAACACTTCAACTTAAAATGATTGTTCAGGTACCATCAATAAAATTGCACACTTATTGGTAATAAAAGCTATCATAACATCAGCATTTGTAGGTCTGTGTCTGCTGACCTGGTTATACCTACTCAATGACTAACCACTCTGAACAAGGGAAAAATTAAGGGGGGGGAACACCCCTGTGAAGCAAACACTCAGCTCGGGTGATCTTCACGGAAAAGGAGAGCAGTCAAACAGAGCTCTTTATACAAGAGACACATGCAGGGGATCAGCTTAGGGGTGAAGTAAGGCATTGGTGGCCACTGCTGTTTCTCCAGGACTTGTGAAGATAAAAAGGAGTTCTCCATAAAGCACATTCCATGAGGAATTCATTCATTTCTCTGTGCTGAAAATACAAGAAAAATAAATGAGCAACCTAAAATGAGCTCAGTTATGACACCCCCCCTTCACTCCCTCCAGATAGGCAAACATGTCCACAATCTATTAATTTAGTAGCACTGAAATTATTAGGAATGTGTAGAAATTTAACTACCTAGTAAAGCTAGAATAACTATGCTTTGCTCTAGTATAAAACCTTTTACAAGGTACTATAAAGCAACCCTACCATGCACAGACAATGCCATTGCTCCCAAGTAATATGCAAAATACTTTCTTAAGCCACCTCACTGCTTTTATAGTCTGATGATTGGTTCAACAGCTGAGTATCAGCATCAAATCAGTTCAGGTGTCCTCGTTAATGCCTTCATTCACTGTGGCAACACGGCATAGGCTGATTACCTGAGCACTGAAGGGATGGCAACACCCAGCTGTCACTACTCCTATCAGCAGAGGATCTGTGCAAGGCTGTAGGGGCAACTGGAGTTCAGGGGTTGCTGCAGTACCTTAGAAGAGGGTAAGGTAGGCTAGGGCCAGGGGTACAGCTGCCCAGACATCCCCATTTCTACTGGAATACCACACACAAAGTTAAGTGGGGCAATTGAGAAATGAAAATGCTTATATCTGTGTTAGAGTTTGTGTGTCCCAAGCACAACACATCAGCCAGGTAGCTAAGGAATTGGAAGTAACAACCTGAGAGATCAGTGTGTAGAAGTGCTAGAGGAAGCTTGAGGGCAAAGAACATGAGAACAAATTTAAGGATGTGATGACAAGTCAAAAAAATACATTCAGGTTATGCATCCGTTTGACAAATTAAGATACTTGAAATTAGACTGTCTGAATACTTTGTGATAAGTCTAATCATTAGACATCTATAAGAGTGTAGTAGGGCCAGCCAAGTCAGCATTAGAAATAATTACAGGTCCAACAGTGAGACCATCACAATCTACAGACACTCCTGAGGCAATAATCATACAATGGTTTGGGTTGAAAGTGACCTTTAAGGTCTTCCAGTAATAAATCCTCTACTGTGGACAGGGACACCTTCCACTGCTCAGAGCCCCATCCAACCTGGCCTTGAACACTTCCAGGGATGGGGCAGCCACAACCTCTCTGGGAAACCTGTTCTAGATACTATGTGTTAGATAAATTGTGTGTAAGGGCAGAAAGCTTTTGAGCATACAATCTCTTGTTTAATGGCATGAAAGACATAAAAATCAGTTACATGGCCAAACCTGGCCTCTTGGCATTTTGGATATGATGCATAAAACTGTGGAGAAATAAATTTCTTACTGTACAGTATAAACCAGCTCTCCCAAGCTAGGTCATAACTGATAGAGGCACACCCAGAGCTTCTATTTCCACTTAACAACTAGGAAATTATTTTCAACAATCTGTGGTGTACTACAGAGCTACCCAAACCAAGAACACTGTGCATTTTAAGTGCTGTATAAAAATTAGTGCACTGGGATATGTGTGGGAAATAACCAGTACTTAAAGTTGGTAATTAAAAGTATTGATAATAACAAAAAGCAAAAAAAGAAATCCAGTCTCCAAGCAAGTCATCATGATGCTTAATAATTGATTGTAATTGTAATAAATACTAATGAATTCATTTATAAAGTAATGTAGCTTTATATGTTTATTCACTTTCCTAAGAAATATTTGTGCTGGGGCTATGTCAACAATTTAATACACTAATATAATTTATAATAATTTATTATTAGTTTCAACACTTAATAAAAAGCAGTTGTTTCACATAAATACCAAAGCAATCTTCAGAGCACATCTGTGTCCCCAGCAAGCATTCAGTCTGACTTGAGTCCTTTTACCATCTGTGAGCCTGCAGGATGGAACTGCATCAAGCAGCTGAACGTCCCAAAGGACAGCAGCAGAATGAGCAGGCCGGCAGGGAGGACCTTGCCCTAACCCGGGCTTTACCAGCATCCAGTCTATCTCCAGAGCAAAACATTTCCACTGGGAAGAGATTCAGTCACTCCTAAACAACAAAATCATCTCTCCATACTGACTTAGTAGCTCTGAATAATCTCTCCCACCTCTATAAAATTTCCTACCTTTCTGAAGTCTGTCCATATACTGCTTCATCTTCTAAGACAGCATTCCTCTTCCTCCATTAACTTTGCTAGGGATGTGACACAAATATTTATGACAGCTTTTTCAACTCAGCTGTTTGCTTCATCTGTGAAGGTTATTGGGTACTACATTAACATCTTCTGTGCCACTTGGGATGTGTATCTCCTGCTGCACTCACATTCCTGAGGTGGAGCATCTCTCAGCAAGAGTGGCAACAATGAGCAAGGCAGTGTGCTCTGTGGAGCTCTAGGAATGTGACTGTAGGTGATTCCTGCAGGGTGAGGGGACACAAATCTCCCACCTGCTGTGAGCTCAGAGCTAATGGTGATGCCAGCTGGTCATCTTCTCACTGTGCACACTGAGAAGGAGATGCTGTCCTGCATAGGAAATGCAAACCTGCAATCCCTGGCTCTAGGACTGAGGTGATTATGTGATCAGCACCATCCTGCCTAGTACCTGGAATTCAATCAGGACTGGACCAGCTGTTGTCCCTCTAGGCGAAAAAGATCACGTCTACTACAGCCCTAGTAGGAATGGTGGCAAGGTGTGTGGTAAATAGGCCCCACCAAAACTCTCTTTCTAAACCTATCACACCTGGATCCCCACTCCTGTCTCCTAGGGTCACCTCAGAAGGCTCAAACTGCACCTGAGTCACACAGGGGCCTGCATGCCCTTGCCCATGCCAATATTATGACCAGCTGACAATGCCTTTACAGTACTGTTTTATCTGATTCATGCCATCAGCGGCAAAGACTAATTAGCAAACAGAACAAAAGGAAGGGGATTCACACTGTTCTAAGGTTTATGAATGCTGGCATGCCTTTTTTATTTCTCTGAACTTGAAATCCTGAGCACACTCACCATCTGCCTACTTTGTTAAGCACCTCCAGAGTGTTTGATGATAGCTAGTTGTCCTCTCATTTAAAGGGAATTACGGATCTGACTCAGAAGATTCAGTATACACAGTACAGGTTGTTGTAGGTCAAGGAATAGACCTTACCTCAGCCCAAAGTACAGAAGTATACTGAGAACTTTCAAGGACACCACCAACTGACCTGTTTTTGAATCCAAGCAAAAGACAAAGTCCTGGCATGGCAGTAGTCAAGCCTCTTAATCTCAAGATCAATATGACAAGAGCTGGATATTATCCTAAGTGCTTCCCTTGCTCTTTTAAAAGAGCAAGTCTTGATACAACCACCAAGACCTCATGCAGAGTTGCAAAATTTGCCACCTCAAGGAGCACTGCAACGCAGTTGTTGCAAAAAGGAGGAAGCTAACCTCAAGGAGCTCAGACCTAGACAAGTTTTTATAAATGCATGGCTGTCATTCTGCTCACACCTTTGCTGTAAATGTGAAGCTCTGCAGGATGAGGTTAAGAGCTGGGCTCTGTGGCTGACTCATCTAGCAGACACAGAGCTCCTGTGGGCTGTGTTGAGAGAGAAACACAAGGAGTAAAGGGATTATACTGTATTGTAGGTCGAGAGCCAGTTTTGGTGGAGTGTTAATCTCCAAGAGTATCATTGCCAAAGTCACTCCTTAATGTAGCAGTTCAAGAGACAGCCTCTGTCTTAGGACCTGAGGCGAACATATTTGATGTCACACTACAAGTAGAGCAGGTGCTGGGTTTGCAATGTATATTTGATGTCTAGTGTTGAAAAGTGAATTGATTGAAATGCTGTCAGGCTGCATTTTGAATGATTGCACTACTAATGTCACCTAGAGGCAACTTGATGGACATTCTACCATACATAGAATACAGTAGGCTGGAAATCATCATTTGCAAATCATCACCTTTGAAAGTACAACAACCAGTTCAGCTGAAGAAAAAAAAAGGAAAGAACTGGAAACATGTTGAAGAAACATTAACCTGAGGAAGTGAGCAAATCAAGAACACCAAATATTTAGGCTCATGGATTTCTCATTATGGGAATTTTCAGCCAACTGTATTTCTTTTGGGGTGTTGCATTTCAAAATCTGTGTTTTGTTTGATAATGTAATTCCACCACAGGAAATATAATCAGTTCATCTTCTAATTTTTTAGTTATATACATTTAGGGTTTTCATTTATGAAAGTAGTTTTACAAAATCTGTCTCTATATACAAATGTGACAAAATGAATAGTAGAACACTGGTATATTTTTGAAAGGATAGGGGAATTTAGGTAACTAATTCACATATAGATTAATAAGAACTTAGTATTTCAATTCTATTGTTTATTATGTAAATCACAGTTTTGACCTATATTTCCTTGCCTTGACACCAACCTGGATTAGAGTTTATAAACATTCATGTCCTAGGATAGAGGTAGGGAAGATTTACGTATTTCCAGTATCAACTCTTCTCCATAAAAATAGAAATCTGCAATTAATTTTACACCAATCTGGAGATTAATTTTACCAATGTGGTAAAACCATTGGCTTATAGGTGTTCTCAGAACCAACATCCCAGAAAGAGGAAGAAGCCAGACTACGGAAACATGAGTATTTCACCACAGTCATCTACTATTATCAGCTTATGTTAGCTAGTCAGCAATAATGCTGAAGCCTTTCAACTATTCTTCTATCAGATTTACTTAGAAATTTGGTATGAATTTTCTGTGTGTATTTTTCTAGAAAACAGCAGAAACTGCTAGAAACAGGCTAGATATTCAACTGTTTCATTTTAAAATCCTGTGGGTTTTTTTCTTCATATACCAGTGTATTTATATATAACCTCAAACACATTACGCTTTCCTTGAGCATTACAGAACACAGCATCTCATCCAGAAGAACATTTGAAATTCTATATGAATTTGGCACGGCACCAGGGAAACTCTATCCCTTCCACTAACAAATGGGGACAGGAAGCCATTTTGAATCTGCACAAAGTCACACAGCAAGTATTCTGTGACAACTGAAAACAAAAAGATTCCACGTTGAGGCAGGAACTGTTTTTAAAACCAAGTAGAATCAGGAACAGAGTTCTTCTCCAGCCCCTTGGTACCATGCTCATGTAGAAGTGAGATGTTCAAGCAGACAGTGCTTTTCTTGAGCAAGGAACATGGAGCAGGGCCATAGAAAGGCCAGACCTTGCCTAAAGGCAGGCTGCCTGGGAGCTCTCCTGCTGCGGTGCACACATGAGTCCTAAGTGGGGCCACTCAGCAGGGAGCAGAAGGAGCAGGGCTTCTCCAACGAGAGAAGCAGCTGGGAAATGAACTTGAATGAAGCCCCACGTTGCCTGAACTGGACCGGGCTCGTGCTTGTAATAGAGTCCACTGACAGTCCCAGACTAGGTGAGATGAAGAGGTAATGGCAGCATCCTTCCAGGAATCAAGGGAGGAGGCTGAAAATGGGTTTGTGAAGCAGCTGTCAGGCACACCCAGGATACAGAGAGGAGACAAAGTTACCTTTCAGGACATGTCTGGAGTCCACCTCAGAAATCCAGTCAGCAAGCCAGAGCAATGAATGGATGGCACTGGAGCACCTGCAGCTTGGCAGGCCCACCCAAGGCTGGGTTGGCCTGGACATGAAGGCAAGGGTTGTGGGACAGGGCCTCAGGTGAGCCTCACCAAGCTCTTCAAGCTCACACAACCCAGCCTATACTTTGGGAAGAGATGGGAGTCTAAAGTCTTGTTTAAGCAAGAAATATTGCTGCTTTACCTTTAATAAAAATGTATACCTGCTATTATACTGAAAGGCTGGCATTTGGCCAACAAAAGATCAGGTTTTTTTTTCAGCACCTGATATAACCTCCCATATAGGCATGTGTTAGCACAAAAAAATTCTGCTCAAATGGTGATGGGCAATCTTTCCTCTTACTTGTCTGCTCTGAAGACTGCAAAAATCAGTTTAATGAAGCAAATTTTAAATATGTAAATATTTACATAAGAAATACACCAAAAAAAAAAAAAAGGTACCCAGTATTCCACTTTATAAATTGAGCCTTAAACCATTAACTCCTATTAAAAGTCTTAAATGAGTAAAAGTCTTAAATGAGTAAATGGTAGGCCCCTTCTCCAGCCTGTGTGTCATTTTAAATGTAAACAAAATTAATGTCTTCTAAGGGAACCTTTCAATATTTAGAAATTAGTTGGCTGCCCGATTATCGAGAATTTGTATGCACATTCTTTTCTTTCACTGATCTGCTCTTTCAACATCAGGAATGGTAACACTCTGGGAAATGTTTACCCAAGATCAGCATGGTTCAAGTGTTACTTAGGATCTCAGTTAGCATTTCTCAGGTTTTAAATGTTTAGTCCTTGGGGAGAAGTGAAAATGACAGCAGGAAGAACCTGGAGTACTAAGTCCTGCTGAAGCTGGCACTTGATGACAGGAGGGGAATGAACACACAAGGCACTACATTTTATGACAGAGCAAACAGGGAAGTTTGTATTAGATTGTATCAACTTGTGCTGTGTCTTGAGCACATCTGAAAGAAAGAAACTGAAGAGAGTTACAGGCTACAAAAGCAAGAAGAATGAATGGAGAACTGGAACTTTGGAATAGGTGTAAAATGGAAATAAACAGTAGAGGAAAAGAGACTTGTCACCTCTCACATGACGACTACTCTAAGTGATGGCTTTGCCGTTCAGATGAGAAAGAATTTGTTCCTTCCTCCCTCACCCCCAGGCCCACCAGAGGGAGACACTTCCCCCAGGGGGGGAATGGCTATGGCATCTGATGATCTGAGCCTCATGTCAGAAAGATGAATAGAGTCATTTTCTCTGAAGTAAAACAGGCAGCAGGTGTTGAAGGGTAGGGTGTATGCAGATAGTGTGCAAATCTGTCTTTGGTTGGCCTAGAATATTAGGAAGGCATCTGCCACAGAAGGCAAAGATATTCTATACAAAATGCTAAGACCCATGGATCCGTGTTCGCTGAAATCTGACATCAGATTCCAGAGCTGTCAGCCCTCTGTGGACAAACTGATGGATCCATGGGTACAAGCACCCCAGCTCTGAGCACTTATGCAGAGTTTGGATGCACAAACACCGGCAAACATCTTGCTGACCTTGCTGTATTACCTACCTGCTTCCAAACCCACAGAGATGGTCCATCCAGTCAGGGTCCTGCCCTCCTAGGCAGTGTTCCTGAGCACAGAGTGGACCTTTATTTCCTGCTGCCATCACTTGCCATCGATCAAAGCTACGGCAGGGTGATAACCCACTGCAGACCAGAAAGGCTGTAATACACTCTTCCAGGAAGACAAATGCTTTCTGAGGCTTCCCTATAGCTATAACATAGCATTCTATCCATCCATCTGTCCCTGCACTTAGAAAAAAAGTTGGTTTAGCAAGGATGCAACAGCATCAGACAGTTTGTTCTCCCATCCAGATGTGCTACTCTCTTCCTCAGTAGGTCAAACTCCTCTCCCAAAACTGCAGCCATTTCCCAACCAGGGAAATGCTACTGGGAAGACGAATGCCTTCCTCTCCTGTGTTACCT